AGATCTATTATTAGTAATAGAGATAAGCTATTTATATTTAACTTTTAGACAACACTACTTATAGTAATGAGAACTAAGAGAAAATTATTAATAGCCTATTACCTACAATCTAATAGATAAATAGAATAAATAAATTATATAATAATCATAATATACCTTAGAATCTATAATAATTAATAATAAGATAACTAAATATAGTTACTACCTATAGTATAAATAGCATATAGTAATAAAACATTAGAATTAATAGGTAAAACACTATTTTTCGCTAACTATAGACGACATCTAAATCTCTTTACTAGAATATACCTAAGTCTAAAAATAGAAGTAGTAATAGTAATAGCTAAATAACTAAAGAAAACCTACGAAGAACTACACACATTACTTAAATAGGCTTAACGCTAAAGCATTTCCTACTATAATAAGAAAAAAAAATAGCACTTTAGCTAAAAAAGAGGAATAAAGTATATCTACTATTAAAGAACCTTCGCACTAAATAGCTAAGTAAAGAACTAGACTAAGTTAAAGCCGGACTATTTTTAATTTCAAAACAAAATAGACCTATAACCTATATACTTAACCTCCTAGCGCATATATAGATATACCTAAGATTCTACGTACGACTATTAGAACTAGCAGATCCTCAAACGCTACTATAAGAAATATTCTATTATAAACCTAAAAATGAAGATAAATTTAAAGTTAAGAGAATCGTCTTACACTAAATAAAAAATAACAAAACTAAATACCTAGATAAATAGTTAAAATACCTAGATAGTAAGAAAATATAAGAACTAGAACCTAACCTATCTAACTATGAATAAAAAATTTAAAAATATCAAAAATAATAATAAAACTTAAATAAAGGAATAAAAACTATAACTTAACTAAGTTTCCTAACACTAGAAAATATAGTAGAGTTACTAACAAAATAATAAATAAAACGCAATATATACTAAGAAAAATTATTCTACGCACCTTAACTACTACTAAAAATACGTATATTACTACTAGAACTAGAAGCAACTAAGCTTAGGTTAAGAGAATCTTAATAATCTAGAGACAGATCCGCGAAGGCACCCTAAGTACTAGAAGATAAGTTAACTAATAGATTAGACCTATTAAACTCTATAACTCCTTCCTACTCTAACTCTTTAAGCTTGCGACTTTCTATAGTAATTGCCTTCTTAGCCTGCTTCTTTAATAAATCTATTTACAGCTATAACCGCTACTTCTAAGTATAATATATTTATAACTCTGCTAGAGCCGCCTTATACGCTTTTATTATAGTATCTTACGCCTTATAACTCTCTTTAATATAAGCCTCTAACTTTTCCTTTTTAGTAGTAAGATACTTAAACTCTAACTTAGTAACTTAGACGTTATATTACTAGCTATAATAAAGATACTTGCTATACTTTTTAGAACGGATATATACCTTATATACCCGCTAATTCTTCTTATAAGTAGAATACTTCTAAACTATAATTTTTCTAAAATAATTAATAAACTTAGTAAGATTTTAATAATAGATAGTACTAGATAAAGATTATTATTTAAGTATAATAAAGAAACTAGATAAATAACAAGACCCTATAACGTAGAGAAAGCCTAGTTATAGTATGCTACTACGCTAAAACCTAATTAAGTTAGCGTAATAAATACTACACTCTTAGATCGTAGTACTTATTAGACTATGCCTATTATAGATAGAAGTCCCTATTATTAAGTCTTCTTAGAAACTAAACGTTTCTAGAAACCTAGTTTTCTTAGGAATACAACGCTCCTAAAAACCTTACGCGTTTAAGAACATAGCGCTTATACAAACGCTACGTTAATAATAATTTCATATTTATAATAACCTATTTCATTTAGTAGTAGTTTACTTTTAGAAATATTCTACTTACAGTAACTATAGAATTATAGTAATATACCTCTCTAGAAAACCCTAGGCCGTATATTACCTTAAGAATAAGTTATAAGACAAAGAGAATAGTATTATAATTAGCCTTAGAATATAGAGAATATTGTACTATTATATCTATTTAATAAGTTATCTATAAGACAGCGAATCCGAAGTAAAAAACAAAGATACTTATTTAAGACTAGTGCATTACGTAATCTATAGAATACTTAGTAATTAATATATCTTAGTACTACTAAGCAACTAAGCACTCTACATATCGCCTATAAGATACTAAGTAATTAGTATATCTTAGTACTACTAAGCAACTAAGCATACTACATAAAGCTCTAGTATATAGCATTAGGCATTAAGCCTTTATAGCTTATTATATTTAACTTAAGTTATAAGTATGAGTATAATATAAACATTATACTTACCTAAGTTACTATTCAGCGCATACTATCTCTCTATCTACGAAAACTAACTAACAAGAAGCTTAACACTAGAAGTCTAATATTACTTCTACTCAAGCTATACTCTTAATAAAGCAATACTATAATAAATACTCTAACTACTTTCTAGACTAGAGAAACTACAATTAACGCTTATAAGCCTAATCTTTACTATAGCGATCGTAATAAGCTTAAAGCTTAGCTTCTCTAGGTTAACTATTACTTCTACTTAGCTAGAGATAAGATTAAATATAACGATAAAGTTATATGAGCTCCTAGTTACTACTAAGGTAATATAGAACAATAGTCTAATCTTATTATTAAACGATATATAGATGAATCTATCGTTAATACTAATAATACCACCTTAGTTAAAAACTAAGAGGCTTTCAAGGCTAAGATGCGATAAAACTTCTTACCTTTTAAGAAATCTCTAATCGCGGAATAGAAAATCTAGACCCTACGCTAAACTAGGTCTACTACTAATTATACTACTTAATTCTAGTAGGATACTACGTATATTAAATTGAGTAACAACGCTCTTATGCGTATATATTACTAGGGCCCAAAACCTATATTGCGCAGAGAACTTATAAGAAGTAGAGCGAATATTACTAATCCTAATAAACTTATAAAAAAGCTATTAGGCTTAATAACATATTTTATCAACATATATTAAAAAAATCACTATTTAATTAGAGAACGCAAAACTATAATAATTAGAATAACTAGCTATAATAATAGTACTACCGGCGTTTACAGCCTAACTAGAGGTAATAGAGAAGCTATTAGCCTAGAATACCTAGCGTATATATAACTAATAGGTACGAATCTATACACCTTAATAATCTAAATAAGGGAAAAGAACCTAGTAAACTGTATTATAAAAAGGATAAGAATAATAAGAAAAAGATTAATCACTACGTATATAGTAAAGAAGGCTATATAGTACGTAACTATTAGAATAAGAATACAGTTAAACGATAGCTTAACGTTCTATACTAGAAATGGAAATTAGATAACAATAAGTTATAGAACGTTATTATCTAGCTAGATATTATATACTATCTAGATAATATAGAAGTTATTAGTAGATTAGACGAACTAACTCTAACTACGTCTAAAGATATATCTAAAGCTAAACTAGTTAGCGAGGAGAAATATAAGACGTTAGAGGAGGAATAATCTCTTAACGTGTTTTATAAGCGAGCGGGCCATATAAGCGAGCGGGCCACCTTACTAACTTTGCGCATCTCTTTACGTGTACAGCTCTACCACAACTAAATAAAATTTATATATATTAAGATAGTAGATTAAACACTATCTAAAGTATCTTTCATACATATACGCGAATTATAGCTAGTCTCTCTACACCTACTACACCGCGCTAGAGCCTAGCGGCTAACACCTAATCGCTCTCCTCCTTAACGCTCTTCGTAGGCAATCTGCTAATTAGCCTCGCACTAAGCGAGTAGATCTTCTCTAGCTCCCTTTATTAGCACTCCTTACTTCTATATCTACTTCTTCTTACGCTGCCTACGTTTTATTACGGCTTCGTTTATCTTCTTAAGGCTAGCTATCTAATCGCGTATAAGCTCAGCTAAAAGCATTATTACCTTAGCTCTCTTCTTAAGCTAATTAATTACTATAATAATCGAAGTTAGTGATAAGTCTTAATACCGCTAAACGCGATTACGTATTAACGTAGATTAAGCTTTAAGCTCGCGTGTATTACTAGGCGTACGAGCCTACTAGAGAGCCTCTAGAATAGCTAATAGAGTAGGCGTACAGAGCTTTATATTAAGCCTTAATAGAATAGTATCTAGCTAGAGAGAAATAAGGCCTGCACCGCAGAAGGCAGAGCAGATATTAGCTAGCGTAAAGGATTAATTAAACGTCATCTTAAACGCTAGCAGAAACTAAAGCTTAGTAATATAGTTAATATAATAGCGGATTAGGCTCTCTACCTCGCGGCTGTACGCGCGCTTTAACAGTAAGAAGTAGCTAACGTTAAGAGGCTAGAGTAGATAAGATAAGTAAGGCGGTATATAGAGCGTATATATGTTATTCTTCTTACAGAGCTCTTAGAACTTAAGTAACTAGTAGCTCTTATAGCTATTAAGAATAAGTAGCTAATATACCCTAATAACCTTACTATCTATATACTTATTAAAGTGCTTTAACTACTTAACTTCTAGCTTATTAGTCGTCTAGCCGTTATCGCTAACTATAATCGCCTAGTTACGTAAGATCTCTACCTCCTTATACTAAGCAGATAGGTAATACTTACTAGTAAAGATTGGAAATAGTAGAATAGACTAGCTAGCTGCGTTAATCGCTATAATTAGCGTTACCTACTCACGATTACCTAGCTTAACTACCTTTAGCTAGCACCTCCTCTCTAATGCTATAACGACTAGCTAAGTTGTAATCTTACCTATTATAAAGCTAGCTTTATTAAAGTTATAGACGTCTTTATCGCAGATACTATACTTAGCCTTTATCTACTCTATAAGCTTAAACTAGCTCTTAATTAGGACTAGATCTTTATATAGAGCCCTCTGCCTATCGTACACTTAATTAAAACGTGTCGTAAGGCTATCTATACGCTGAATAAAGATGCGCGGCTAGTAGACGCCAACCTAGCTAGCGCCGCGCGTAGCTAGTAGTCTATTAGCTATATCACGCACAGCTATGTAAGTAGGCGAAAATCCACATAGATCTAGATTAAGTATATAATTAACTATTACCTCCTCTTCTAGCTTTATAAGCTTCTTCGAGTTAGGCTGACAATCGCGTTAGGTAAGTATACCAGCGCGTCGACGCTAGAGTATTATTCGAGAGACTTCGTAGACTTTTGCTACATCTCTTTAAGACTTAATTTAATCTTAATTAATAGCTAAGATTGCTAGCTGTATATTAGATTCATAAGACACGTTGTAAGCTTAATTTAATAGGGCCATAGTTAATTAGAGTTAAAGAGATACGTAAAGTTAGTAAGATAGCCCACTCGCTTATATAGCCCGCTCGCTTATAAAACACGTTATGTCTAAATATAAAAAGATAGTACAATTCTAAGAGAAAAATAGACTACTTACGCTCTATAAAAAGAGGTAAGATAGTGCGATACTAGAATTACTTAAGACTTAATAAGATAACCTAGTAGAAGTATAGAAGTGGATTAACGTACTATCTATACTACTTAGCCGCTTAAGTAAGACCTACGCCTATATAGATAATAGTACTAAAGTGTTACTAGATATATACTAACAGCTATAGTACCTACGCTTAGATATTACCTTTTATTAGAATAAGGAGAGTGCTACTTATTCTATAGCTAGCTTAGAGGTAGAGTCGTCTACTTATCTAGCGATAGACTTAGAGATAGCGAATCAATAGATTCTAGGATAAAAAGAAAGAAATACTAGGGGAGAGAGATAAGAATTAGATTAAACTAATCTAGTAGTCTAATCTATTCTTATAATCTGCTCTATGCTATCTACTCTATGCTATCTACTCTAGTTTCTATCTACTAGCTATTCTACTACTATATATATTTACTGTACTAGATTCTAGAAGAATCTATCTAGTAGTAGATTACGTAACTATAGACGTAATAGATAGATAAACTATTTAGAGATTAGTTAACTAAAGAATCTAAGTATAGTGCCGAGCACCTGGATTATATCAGAGATTAGCTAATTAGCTTATATCTCTAACACGCCCCTTTAAGCTAGGCAGCTAAGATCTAAGATATCTATTAGATTTGCTTATGCTAGAAAATCTCGAATCTTGTTAGCGTTTATTGCCTTTATAAGATAATAAGCTAGTAAGTAGCTAGTATTTTAATATTATAGCTAGATCTGTTTAGCCTCTATCTTCTCACGCACGAAGTAGTAGTAAATATTAATATATTTATTTCTGGCGTGGTAGGTGGGATTTTTAGATAGCTAGATTGCACTCTAGCTGTTAGAGTATATCGTAATAGTTCTATCTAATAGTTGATTTAATAGTTATTTATTCTCTTCAATAAATTAGATTAGATAGATACTCTATTTAGTTAATTCGCGATATACTATAAATTCAGCTTCTGCGCTTACTAGAGCTACTATTAGTTATAACTTTAATAGCTAAAAAATTATATAGTAGTTCTTATTTAGTTAAAGTAAAAATATATATTTTATTATAGATCTTTAACTATTAAGATCGCCGCCCTAATCTGCATCTATAGATCTAATGAGCTTAATCTAATCTAATCTAACTAAATATAGATTAATCTAACTTAACAGATCTAGCTTAGGAGCTAGTATTAAGTTAGTAGAGTAGTCTAATCTACTTGAATTAAGATAGATATCTCTAGAGGTAATTAAGATTGCTAAAATACTCTAGACTTAGATTAGCTATAAATCTAGATAGAAGATTAACTACGTAAGGAATATCTAGCTAAGTAAAAGTAGATAAGTAGATTAAAGAGCTAATTTGTTGTTAAAATAGGTTAGTATCTTTTACTGTTACTATCTAATCATTTTTACTAAGCTTTATGCTATATTAAAGAGGTATTTATCTTAGTTTAACGTTCTCTTTATTAAAACGGATAAGTAGCCGTTAAAGATAACTCTCTTAAGTAATATAGATTAATTAATCTAATCTAATAATTTAGATACTAAGAAACTTAGATATATTACCTAGATCATTAATCTCTAGATCTAATTTATTCGATACATTATTGAATAAATCTTCAATTTTTTACTTATTTTCTTTAAATATAAGTAAATTATCTACCTAAGTAGCGATTATAATCTTCTAATCGTATTTAATATATATAGCTATATTCATAGATAGAGATTAAAATTCTAGTTAGCCTAGTGGACTTACTAGTAGCTTCTACTATTATCTACTAGCTTATTTTAATCTATATAGTACCTTGTTAAGTAGGTAGACGTGCTAAGGGTATCGTAGATCTAAACCTTCTTCTAGTTACTTAATAAATATTCTAGTATTAATAAGAGTATTTAGGAAAGTGTATTTAATATTCTAGCTTTAAATAATCTAGTGTTAAGCTATAGCTATCGCTAGTAGTAATCTCATAAGATTAGGCCTAGTAGTATTAGCGAACGTTTCATAATAGTTAACGCTAAATTCTTATTAAAATTCTTTTGCTACCTAATAAGCTTTAAAGATATAGTTGTTATTTTATTAGTATTTTAAGTTAAGTACCTAACGACCTTTAAGAACTAGATAACTAGTAGGCCTTAGTACGAGCGTCTAGGTGTTATTCTTTTATAGTTAATCTAGCTCTTTCTATATTACTAATAGATATTCATTTTTATTAGCGTGTTTAAGAACTTAAGCGTTGTTTTTTAGATTAGTATTATTCTTAGAGGTAAATAAAAGCTTCTTTAGGATAATATCCTCTGTAGAAACTTTAGTAGATAGACCTAATATAGCTATTCTAGCTCTATTCTTAATTAGAATAATTAGATTCTTTCTAACTATTCTCTATTAATTAGTAGATTAATTAGTAGATTAATCGATGTTTTTATTAATTTTTAACTTCTTTATCTAACCTCTCTTTAGGTAGAGATTTTAATTAGTATCTGAATTGATTTCTCGATCGATTTTTAGTTGCAATATATAATTATCAGCTTAATTATTAAATACTTCTTTAAGTATTCTTATATCTCTTATAGTTATAATCTTGTTTAACTTTAGAATAATTAGTTAATATAGATTACTAATAAAATAGCTAGTAAGATATTATAGCTGAACTCCAGTATTAAGTTTACTAACGAATTCTGTTAGCTCTTTTTAATATACTAGAGATCTCTAGATTTTAATACTACTGATATTTAGCTTATATCTATATTTTGCTTTTAATAGTGTTTAAAAGCTAATAGAACTATATAGCGATCTATTATATAGATATACTACTAAGAGTAAAGCTTCTACCTATAGCTTATTTAGTATTTTAGATTGAAACAGTAGAGCTCTAATCTTATTAAATAGTGTTTAATTAATCTATATAGCTCTACTTTTACCTTCTAGATTAAATAGAGGGGTAAATTAGAGTTTAAAACCTTTTCTATTTGAGAGCTTCTGCAGATCCTTTGTATTTAGCTTATTATCTAATTAAATAAGCTTAATCTACTTTAAATTCTATACTTTAGCTCGTTTAATAAAAGCTTTAACTAGTATTATAAGCTCTAATCTAGATATAAGAAGTTTAACTTCTAGATACTTAGTGTAGTAGTTAAGAAAGGTTATATAGTACCTATAGCTCTTATTTGTTTTTAGCTTAATAGGTCCTCTTAAATCGCAGTAGATAAGATCGCTAAAATTATTAACTAGTGTTAAGATTAGATCTCTACTTATTTTACTGGTAAATTTACTTTCCAAGCATATCTCGTAATTGCTGAATAGGTTACTAGTCTTAATATTTAATTTAATACTATCAGTATTTTCACAAAGCTTATTTATGCTTTTTTTTCTATTATAGCTAAAACGTTAGTGTAGTAGAGATATCTAATTATTTTAATTAATAGATTTTGATTAATTAAGCTTTTCTGATAGCCCTAATAGATCTAATTATTTAGATAGATTTAATATATTAGATATTAGATTTATCTAATATGATAGGCTTAATTGATTAGATAGATTCGGCTAATCTAACTAATTACTTAGTTATACTAAGTTATTAATCACTATATAGATCTAATTAGGTTAATAGATATTACTAATTATAGTAAAGATCGCGATCTTTTAAGCGTATTATCTCTTAGCTAGTATCTTACTAGAATATGTAATTAGACTATAGTTCTTAGTAAATTAGAATTCTGCTCCTTTTTAAACTACTTAATAGAGACTTGATAGATTAACTCGAAAGTCTAGTATAAAGAGAACTTCTTTTAGCACTACTAATCTACTAGTACTAGTAAATGTAATTAGTACTTCTCCTTTAGCTATTACTAGTAGTAGTATTCCTATATTACTCTATTTAATATAGGTATTGGATACATTAGTAAGATTCTGGAATAGAGTTTAATCGCAGCAGATATACGCACTAGCTCTACTATCTAGGATCTACTTACTAGATTTAGTACAGAGGGGTGACATAAATAAAACGTAATAAAAAAGTTATAGTTTTTATACTATTATAACTTTAGATCTAGAATAGTTAAGACTTAGCGGGTAAGTGCTCTAAAAAGCTGCGATCTATAAGATTTAGTAAAAGAACTAACCTTTTGCTTAGTTAGCAGTTTACAGATATTATTTAAAGTTAAACTTAGAGTACTAAAAAACGCTAACTAAAACTTGAATTTACTTGATAGTGGGCGTACAAAACCGGCTATAAGCTATATATATTATAATTTTTATATTAGTATATAACATTCTAGATTATAAGCTATACTCGGCCCTAACGGTTCCATATGGATAATTTCAAAAAATTGGCCGTGCGTTGCACGGCCCGCCCACCCCAAGGGAAATGCCCACCCCCAGGGCAATAAAATACTTTAGTCGCAAATTTTGGTGTATTTATATAAAAATTTCAGACAGAATAATTTACTTATTCTTAAAGCTATATTTTAAGACGCTCCCTAGTTATTTTGACTACAGCCACTATATACGTCGCTGTTGTAGTCGCGATCATAGTCACTACTACCTGCGCAGCTAGCTATCTTATCTAGTATTGTTGAGCTTAATAGTGACTATTACGACTTAATTTTTGGGCAAGGAGAATCGCTTTAGTATAAATATAGTAGCTCGTCTTCCTTATTTGCTGCATTATTATCGCTGCTAT